ACGATAAAAGGGTTTATCAATATACGGTGAAGGGTTTAGGAATTTAACCCTTTCGCTACGGGTGTCCCATATATGGGACGGTGACATTTTTCGTATGATATGGAAGTTTTATACTAAAAGTGCGTCTTTCCTACAAAAATTCTAACGTCCCAGGCTCCCTCCTTATAATAGAAAGAGCTCTTTAGATAGAAATATCAAATTGTACTCCAAGTACAATTTGATGCCTTTATCTAAGGAGAAATGTCACCGTCCCATATATGGCACACCCGTAGCGAAAGGGTTAATAAACCCTTTTCATAGGGTTTATTATTCTACGAATTTTTTTTACAGTGTACATTATGACCGGTGCTTACGGTGTCCGTGTACCGGTGGAACGGTGAACGGTGCACCGCTACTACGGTGACCGGTAGACCGGTGGCACCGGTTGATACGGTGCACTGGTGGACCGGTGGCACCGGTCCTACGGTGAACTGGCGGACCGGTGAGACCGGTGAACGGTGGACCGTAGACCGATCACACCGGTGACCACCGTCACCGTTGTATCCCTAGGTGGGTGTGGGTGGGTGTGGGTGGGGTTTGGATGTGGGTATGGGTGAGGTGTGGATGTGGGTGTGGGTGGGTGTGGGTGTGGATGTGGGTGAGGGTGTGGGTGTGGGTGTGGGGTGTGGGTGTGGGTGTGGATGTGGGTGTGGGTGTGGGTGTGGGTGTGGGTGTGGCGTGGCTGGGTGTGTGGGTGTATGAGTGTGTGGATGGGTGTGGATGTAGGTGAGTGGTTGTGGGGTGACTGAATGTGTGCGTGTGGATTGGGACGTCGCTTTATTCACAGATAGATCCACACCCGCACCCACACCCTGAATATATACTATAACAAAGTTTTGCAGACATTTGACTGATGATGAGATCATATTTCAGTATCAAAAAAAGCATTGATCTGTAACATTATTTGATACATATTTGTTTCTCTCTCTTATTTGTAGAATTACTCTCATTCATATCCTACCTCTTGCCCGCTGGCTTAATCTTCGAATGGACATCGCAATGCTGTGATTGCCACGAAAGGACTTTCTCATCATCAAATACTTCTTTTTCAACAAAAAATTCTACAAATCTTTCATAGCAAAAGAGATAAAATGCTAGCTAAAACATTATGCTGTTGAAGAATGGAGGTGCAATGACTACATAGCAATCTTACCCTTGTTAGGGCAGAGAAGGACACTAGAGATGGGATGAACGAGGTATAAAAACATATAAATTACGATTCATGTACTCATAGATTGTAAACATCCCCGTAGAGTCTCTTAGACAAGGATGAAACGCGTCGTGTGATGTTTTCAATTTAAAAATTACTTTATAATAACTCTATATAGATATAATATTGAGATACCACCTGCTAAAGTCCCTCCAGCACAGAAACAACCGTTATTGTGCATCAACGATATACCTATTCGCTCTCTCTCTTAAGCTGGAATAAAGTATCATTTGATACTTTGTATTTAATCGACTACATTCTATTCTTTTGGCGAAAGACAAATCTCATTAACGACTAGTATCAAATATCGTTATGAGAGACACATCTGATCGTTTGAAATATAACGCCGTACATATAATTGATTCACAAAAGCGTAGAAGCATGCATTTTTTCAAAAATGCCTTCTTGGTTACTTCTGTTCGCTTCATGTGCTGCTCTTGTTGCATTATCTATGCAAGATTGTAAGCCTGGTGAATATGGTATTAGGGAATGTTCTCCGTGTCCAGAGGGCTATTATTGTCCGAATGGTCGATTTACTCTATTTTGCCCTCCTGGATTTTACAGTTCGAGTGAGGGTGCAGCTAAATGTACAAAGTGTGATTCGGGTACATATGCTCCACGTCGTGCTTCGGCCTATTGTCATTCTTGTCTGGCAGGTTATTATTGCGACGACCCAACATCAACTCCTAAAAAATGTCCGGCAAATAGTTATAGTAACGATGGGGCTATATCATGTCAAAAATGTCAGGATGGGTGGACAAGTCAAGAAGGTTCTTCTTCGTGTATACCTCCTTCATCAACATCATGCACTGGCTAAAATTTACGTTATTTTCATTAGCATCATTTCAAAATCTTTTATGAGAAAAACAATTTGTTTTCGTCTATATAGTGTGTGACATCATTTTAAAGGCCTTTATATGAAAAGATTTTGTTTTCGTCCCTACAATGTAATCCATTTTTTTCATGATATATCATTTGAAATAAAGCATGCATGGAATACTATCAAAAAGTAATCCAGTCATATATCAGATCGATCTATGTCTTGAAGAAAAGACAAGTTCAATCTGATAGTCTCAGGTTTGACTTTTCAAGAATCTAGCTAAGTCGAACTCAAATGGATCTCAGAATAATAGATTGTTGTGCTTTTCACGGATATATGAATAGAAAAGAAAAAGAAAATATTGACTTTACTTTCCATGATGTATATCTTATGGTTTATTTAAATATAAACTATCATTCCATCTCTGAATTAAACTTTTCACTTTTAAGATATAAAAATCACGAGAATCGTACTAAATCCTAGGACAAAAGTGAAGTCAGGAAATCCTAATAATAAAAGATATGTGTCCATATAGAATAGAGTTTGAAATTTATCACGTCAGTCGTATTTATTCTTCTATCATCTAGATAAAAAATGTATGACTTGTATGTGTCATTATTAGTTATAAAAATAGAGTATACAATAGGCTCATATATGATTACTATTACACGATGATCCATCCACAAATACCGTATCAGAAACAATTCTACATATTATATTCATATAACTATAAACTAAGAACCATATCGATCGGATTGGATAACTGCGTTAAATCTCACTTGAACGAGTTGTAGTAATGTATTTCAATAGCTTTCAAAGTATTCGTGATAATTTTAATATCGTTCAAAACGTCCATGCAAAATTGTACATTATCTGCAGTGTAAGTAGCCAAGGCCTCATTTGACTTCTTTTATAAGAAATTTCTTAGTGTCCGAAAACGTAAGAAATCTGTCATTATTATTCTGGCTCTTCAGAAACCCTTGAACAAAACTATAAATTTAACAATATATTTATCATTTTGGAAAAACTTCAATGGCTGCTTTAGTCTAAACTACCTCTTAGAAACTGGGACAAGTTCTTATTCGCGATGACGGTTGTTCCTTTCAATTGCGCTTTTTTGATTACCAGTAGAAGTCTTTGACATTTGTTCAAAAAATTTTCTATTAGCAGTAGAGACTGACTTCTATGATCGTTAAAGATTAGCATTCAAAGTTAATTCTATTCGAAAATTTTACATGTGCAAATGTCTATATTAATTATTATATCTCTATCTGCAATTCAAAAGTTATTTATCTAAAGTTTATGAATTAAAACCTCTACATAGATATAATATTAAGTTACCACCTGATGAGCTCGCCATCAATAGAAACAACTATTCTCGTGGTTTGGCGATTATTCTAATCACATTCACACCCGCACCCTTTATTCATAACTTCTCCAAAATTGGAGAGTTTTGGATTTATGTACTTACAGATTCCAAACATATCTAATGAGTTTCTTAAGCAAGGATGTAACACGTCGTATGATGCTTTCAATCTAAAACTAAATCTTAATAGTAATTTACTTAGTCAAACTGATTCGACAAATACTTTTAATCATAACATCGAACAGCTCGAACCGAATCGTGTGACTTCGATGAATCATTAGTTTCACTTATGCAACCACACCCTTTAAATGTAAATTGAATGATGACTGATAAAATAGAAAGGATGAATCAATTTTCTGAACAGCTGTTTACTGTATCTAATTTCTTTTCTATATTCATGTTGGACATATATTTTACTGGGTTGTCCATATTCTTCATGACTAATTAATATACTTGCACGAATTCTCAGCATACTCAAAGATGACCTCGAAACGATCGCAACATATCGTGCGATCTGCTTCGATCACACTTTCACATTTATAAAATTACCTACTCCTACACCCTCCTGCAAATATTCTTATGTATAGGTGTTCATATCTATGCATGACAGACTAAATTCTGGTTCTTCTGATTGCTTGGAGTAATCGATCAGAATTATTGCCATCTAATGAGATCCTTAAGCAAGATCGAGATACGTGTCATGGCAGCTTGTCACACACAGCGGATGAACTTCGGTGGATCGTCTCTTAATCCGCTCTAGGTTATTGTTTACATTAGTTTACTAAGAAAAACACACGATGGATGAACTCTATATGAGCTGCATAGAATGAAAGCATATGGCATTTTTGGAAATTCGCTTCTGGATCTACTATTGGAAGCTTTCTTTGAATACTTTGAGATAACAGCACTTATTATGAGTATTACCAGTTTGGAAAGATTGATGTTAACAGTTGATAAGAATATTGCATATTAGAAGATATATCTAGGGAGCATTCTTGAGATAATTAACAAGTGGTTTTATCATTCAATTTTAATCGAGACATATGTTGATATTTGTTAGTGGAATCTTCTTAACAATAAATCAAAGCAGCTTTGTATTTGAGTATCTCTAACGAAAATATTTATCATGGTGTACAGTCTATTTTGACCTTTATATATAATAGGGTGAAATAGTTCTTTTGGTTCTAGTGTGAGAAGTAATCATATAGTATTATGGTCATCTGATGAGATCCTTGAGCAAGTTGGCAACACGTATGATGGCAGGTTGGTATTCATTTGTAGCATGAACGGAACGAATAGAAGCGAGCATAAACCAGAAGTCATTCTGATAAGTTGTGGGTGTGGCAGGATGCGGGCGGATTTGAGTGTCGACTGATCAATATAATAGCTAGCACATCTGCCCTCACCCACACGCACACCGACACCCGTACCCACAAGCACACCCTCATCACACCCACACCTATATCCACAACCACACTCTCACCACATCAATGTTCACGCACACATCCACACCCTTCCTATTGTCAAAATCTACTTTCATCCAACAACAATTGATATTACCGAGACTGTTGGAAACTATTTATTCAAATCTAGACAGTTCGCAGTAACAGTTTGAGCATAAGTATTTGAATAACGTTTTCTCCTTCGTTCAAACCATCTGAACTTTAATTCTAGAACAGCTTTTTTCTGATGCACTATTGAAAAAACATTGATAAAGTTTAGCAATACGTATGAAAACAACACTACCTATTTTATGGTACAATTTTCTATATTCGCATTGAAGCATTAGTTGAGCTCATATTATCAGAGGATTCACCCTCTAGTTGAATCAATCTCTGACATAGTTGCGTTATTCTTTATATGAGTTTAAAGGAATGTGCTAGCTGTTTTAATTCAATATATTCTATATGAAAATATAAACGATTGATTCTCGAAAAATTTTTCTTCATTGAAAATAAACTATCAAAAAAAACTTTCTTTATACTTCGCCTTCTCTATCTATTGGAGAGTATTGACACATTCGTCAACTTCATACGATCAGCTGAGTTTCAAATTAAGTCTAACAATGACTTTCTCTAGCTATAGAACATTAAATTTCATTCAGAATTTTTGCGGCTTTTTTTCTATGTAGATAAGGGTGTGAGTGTGGGTGTGGGCGTGAGTGAGAGTGTGGGGTGCACATACTATGGGCTATTTAATTTCAGTCTGAATTTATCAAATAAAAATAATACTTGATTTCAAACTGAAACGTGAGTCTAGGAGTGAGGGGGGGGAGTGACTGAGGGTGTGGGTGTTGGTCTGGGACCCACACACACACCCACACCCATGGTGCGGGTGTTGGCGCGCGAGTGAGGGTGAGGGTGTGCTTGTGGCTTTGTGTACTATAGGCTTTAGTCCCCTGCACAAGGGACTAAGCGGGGACTAAGCTTTTTGTGAGGGGGACTAAGGGGGACTTTGCAGGACTAGGGGGGACTAAGGGTTTTTAGTGGGACTACGTAGTATCAAACGAGAAAAGTTTGATTCGGAAGAAGTTGGTGCGGTTTTTTTGATTTTAGAATTCAGTTTGAAATAAAAAAGCCCATAGACTCGGGGTGCAGGTGTGGGGTGTGAAGCGTAAGGTGTGGGTGTGATGGCTGATCTCCTTTTAACCAAACTAAAACTGACACATGCCACATCCACACATGTCACCGAATAAGTGCATGTGAATGATGTGGGTCCTCCCATGCGTGCATGAACTTTACGCTCATCACGGCGCCTCCCAGCGTGATTCTTGGTCGCGCACATACAGAGTAAACATTCTTTCCATTCATTAAATGTTATTTATTTAAAGAAAAGATAGAAAAAATTCATCCATCGTTTATAGTCAACTCGATTGAAAATCGTCGAACAAGAGCACTTCACCGATCGACGACATAGAGATTGCCATGACGATCGAGGGATAAAGCCTCGGGAATGTTCAACTGACCATTTCGACCCACAACGACAGTGCCATTTTTTGCTCCTTGAGGCCAACGTATCAGTTGTTTACTATGCGAGTCTGCCGCATATACGGTGCCCAACGTATCAACGAATAGTCCTCGAGGTTTTGAATATTGATATCCTGTGCCTTGATATCCAGCAACGATAATTCCTTGTTTTGCACCTTTATTCCATTTGATTATACGATGATTTTCGTAGTCTGACACGTAGACAACCTTTTGTTGATCGACAAAGATGTAGGTCGGCAAGTTGAGTTGATTGAGACCAGAATCTTGGCCATTGCTACCAGCAACGAAAGTTCCATTCTTGTCTCCTATTTGATATCGTCTTACTTGATTTTTGTTGACGACAGCGACGTAGAGATATCTCTGATTATCCATGGCCAATCCGAAACAATTGATGTTGTCGATGAGCATTTCTCCTTGAGTTGTGCCATTACGACGAGACCATCGTACGACTCGTTGATTCGATCCGTCACAAATAATGAGACTATTCGTCTCTTTGTCGATCAAGACGTCGCTTGGCCAATACAATAGATCCCGTCTATTTCATTTGCCATTGCCACCAGCTACGACTTGTCCATTCGTATCACCCATCTTCCATTGGATGATACGATTATTGTTGTTGTCAGCGATGACCATCGTTTGATCAT